TTGTTTAGCGCGACATCCGCCAGTTTCCTCTTTCTGGTGCAAATTGGGCGATAAACCATGTGCTAATGTTACTGAATCTGAGGAAGCTCCGCAATAGCCACCACCAAACAACTGAGTTATGTTTACACACTGACCAGCATCTGGCCAATCCACCACCTTTCATTGTTTATACCGTTACAAAGAAAAAAAAAGTCACCGGGCCATCGAGCAAATCCCCGGTATGCCCAATGGCCAGTCAGCTATGGTCGTGCCATCAGTTAACCCTTCGCGTGCCAACTGTGGCATGCGTGCCTAGGGTTGCCGACCCCTGGTGTAAACTTACATACTAATGTATGTATAGTCCAAAAAAATGGATGAACACTTTGAAAATGCATACTCTTGCCACAGAAGGCATATGAGGCATTGTTGTGCACCATGAGGAACCCAGGACCCACTGCACCAGCGTAGGCTCTGACAATCCAAGGATTTCTTTCTGATACCTAATGGCAGTCAGGGTGCTGTTGTATTCATGTATCCACCTTGAGGAATCACCAGTAAAACACTTCTTTCTTCAATTATTATTTATTAAAGCAGACATAGAATGATTAAATATTATCATGTTCAGAAAACCACAGCCTGAAAACCAGTTAGCAGAGTTCACAGAGTTTTATATGAGAATGTGCAGCTATCTAACTGGTTAAAACTGGCTGGGAGATGCTGCTTGTTTTACAGGCTTTATTTGTAATAGAATTACATTTCTATGTAATTCTAGAATGTACATTTCTTTACCAGGTTCACATATGAAGTTTCGCCTGTTTTCCTCCTCATTGAGGAGGCTCTGCTGAAAAAAATGCAAAGCATCGTGGGGTGGGCTGATGATGAGGGTGACGGACTCTTCTGTCCAGGTAAAAAAAGATATGACAAAAATCTGCTTCAAGAAGTTAAAAGTAAACACCTTTAGATATGAATAACTGAGTAATTAAAGAAAAAACCTGAACCTTTGACCTCTATGAATGATGAAGCTATTTTTTTATATGTTATGGTCATTTTATGCACTAAGAGGAATTTTTACTGCCATAGATTTTGTCAAAATGCATGCACACCATGATTTACACTCTTTACAAATCAATACAAAATTGATTTGACTGATTACTGTTATTGTATGATGAGACATTTCTGTTCTAATAAAGGGATGGAAATGGTTTGGGTAAAAATCTGGTTGAGATTATAGGACATATTCATTATGATTGCTAATTAGCACTAACCCTAAATTTGATTTAAACCTAAATAAAATGAAATTAGATTTTCTGTTATTACAATAGCAATACACATACATTGAAGGCTATAGAATGTTAATTCAAATTAACATTTTGATTAAAAGGAAGAAATAAATGACAGGCTGTCAAAGTCAAAGACTCCAAAACTACACTGCCACAATGGTGGTACAATATATGCAGTTTAGAGTATCAGTAGTTAAAGAAAGGTATACAATGGACTAACTTTCTACTTGCATTCTATTTTCTGTAGGAGGCACGATATCCAATCTGTACAGCATCCTCTTGGCCAGGTATCACTTCTACCCAGAGGTGAAGACCAGAGGGATGGGAGCTCTGCCTCGGCTGGCCATGTTCACGTCAGAACATGTAATCATAACTCGCACACTCTTTCAGTCTATGGGCGTAAGCCCTGCAGGT